ACAAAATCTTTGACTGATGTTTGCCTTCTGCCTATATGATCAATTTGAAATCATTGTTTTTTTCAAATATTTTTATACGTGTAATATATTGATCTGTGGCTCTATAAGAATATACTGCTTTCCTGGAGACTGCAGCAGGCATGGATTCAATAACATGAATAATAAGGATGATATTATTATTACCCTTAGCAGCAACAAGTTCAGTGATATTATTTTTTAGTAACGCTCACTGAGTATTGTTATTTTTGCTTCATGCTAGGTGGGAGGGTGGGTTATGTAAATGATTGATTGAGGGGGGCACGGGTGGCCCAGTCGTCTAAGGCGTAGCGATTCGCTGTGCAGAGTTGCGTCCCTTGGGCACGCCAGAAACCTATTTTCATGGGTTCGAATCCTGGTTCACCCCGATTATGTTTCTAGGTTTGTCAGCACCATACCCGTGCTCGTGGGTTTCACGGAAGTGGTAAACGTCAGAGACCTGCATCACTTCGGTCTTTCCTCCCACATTAAGCTGACGCGCCGTAATATAACTGGAATAATGTTAAAAGCGGCGTTAAATCAAACTCACTCACTGATTGATTGAGTGAATTATCGCACGGCAAGACAAGAATACTACTCAAAAGAAGCTTAAGAACACCCGACATTTTCATATGACTATAGTTATTAATGTCATGACATGACGGAATAACTGCAGTCACATGAATAACTAGGGTGTTTTTGAACTTCAATTGAGTAGTACATTGTAAACAACAATCTCCAGACCACAATCTGTAACCATCCAATCCTCATTAGATTCCACAAACAAGTGACGTTTTGCCCAGGAATCCCCACTCTGAGCTGATAGTATAGTGACAGTCACCATCACGACTACATAAAAAGATGGTGACGCTGTAGCATCAACAGAAGTAGATGTCGATTTACGCCTACCCTATTCGACGTAATTAGCGCCCTTCTGTGTAATAAGCGCCCACGGTGATATTTGTAAATATATTGGCTAGTGAACAATCCTAATTAGCACTACTTCCAATTGATCAACGTACACAAGACTTATTTATTCGCGTATAATATGCACTCATGTGTTATATGCACCCTTAATTATGGGCAATTAAGTTCTGGAAAAATATATCTGTCGTATATAAACATTTCAGGCTGTCAGCATAAACCACGAAATTTACGATCTTTCAACTGTTTTTTTCACCAAAATAATATTCCAATAAGAGCCCCCTATTTCTAGTTTGCAACCTCGAAAACGTTAACACGGGGTATACCGAACGACAGTTATGACTAATTCCGTCAAAATTATCATATATCTCTCGCTTCTGTGGCAAAAACATTTGAACGGAGAAGGCGATGCACAGTACATTGGAAGCACTGCCATACAATCGCAACCATACACTAGACATTCCGCAATGTTCATTTGTAAAGTTTCCAAAATTTTAATCGAGAACTGTGTCAACATATTTTTCAAGCATAGTCTGAAATGGAAGTTGCCAGGTTGAAACGAATGCCGTAAAGCTCGAGAAAGCTGCTTTCTAATTGGCTTATGTCGACTTCCTGTTAGCCATTTCAGTGGTCGGTCAAAGTTCGCGAAAGGTCGTTCTGACGTGACCCGTAATGGGATGTCCTCAGACCTTTTTTTAGCGATAGCGAGAACTTAGATCTGAGAACTAAGAAAGAAGGGAACACTGAGCAGTTTCTTCCTCTGTCAGAACTATGGGACAGTAAGTTTGTTTATTTCTTGTTTAACGCTACACTCAGAATATTCACGCTATATGACGGCAGTCTGTAAAAAATTGAGTCTGGACCAGACAATCTAGTGATTGACATCATGAGCATCTATCTTCACAATTGGGATACGATGACATGCATCAACCAAGTCAGCGAGTCTGACCACCCGATCCCGTTAGTCGCTTTTTGTGACAAGCATAGCCACCTTTTACAGCAATTCCTACAGTATCAAGGTGGGGACAGAAGAGTGAGTGAGTGAGTGAGTGAGTGAGTGAGTGAGTGAGTGAGTGAGTGAGTGAGTGAGTGAGTGACGCTGCTTTGAGCAACATCAAACTGTGGACAAGAAATAAGCTTCACACATTGTACTCATTTTGGCAATCAAACCTTGGCCTTCAGTGTAATGAGCAAACGCTTTTACCACTAGGCTACCCCACCTCCCCTAGGGCCAATCAAATGAGGCAGGGTGTTTGGCTGTGAGGGTGATGGGGATGAACATTACGTTATTATTATCTAATGGAAAAATCTAAAAAATTGAAAATCATGTGTCTCCCATTTCCCAGTGTCCACTGTGCAGGCTCTACGGGATTACATCAAGCTCCTCACATCTCCTGACCCAGAGGACAACAACAGGTACTTGCACCAAACAAAGCAGTTCCGCAATGGCTCTGCACGGAGTTAACGAGAACGTCCCTCTGATCCCGCCCCACCTTGGGGTGTTTACAATCCTGCTCCGACGTGGGGCCATTGTTGACACAGAGATTATTGAGTAAAATGACAACTTACCCCAAGTTTAGACAGTATTTTGTTACCCTATGAAGTCTGGTCGAGTCAACACCTCTGAGCTCTTTGAGCTCAATAGGAAAGAGGACAAAAAGCCGATGAGCGAATACAGATCAAGACACCCTTGTCCATTGTTGACTTGATCTGAAGGTCATGGTCAGGGTTACCTAATTGCACAAGAGCGAATGGACATCTTGAACAACAATTTTACTGAAGGTGTTTGCAGAAATGCAATAATTGAAAGAACTTCACAAATCTTGTAGTGTCTATTTTCATTGGAAGGCTTGAGTCAGTGAAACCAATCTGAACTGCTACCAACTTCGCCCTTGAAAGTAAAACATGGCCTCCAGGTCCCTGCAATCATACTGAAGCTATTTGTAACATTATTCCACATTGTTCCAAATTTCAAGCCAGGAAACACACGGGCGTCTTAAATATATTTGTACATGGGAAAGAAAATATATTTAAGGTGATTCGGAACATATTAAATGGCAATGGATTTTTTCTTTTTAAATGTTTATCCTCAAATGTTGAGAGACACTTTGTGTTATAACGAGGATGGAGAAAGCCATGTTTGTAGTGCTGGTGGAGTAGGGAGCCACTTTTGTAGTGCTGGTGGAGTAGGGAACCATGTTTGTAGTGCTGGTGGAGTAGGGAGCCACTTTTGTAGTGCTGGTGGATTAGGGAACCATTTTTGTAGTGCTGGTGGAGTAGGGAGCCACATTTGTAGTGCTGGTGGAGTAGAAAGCCACTTTTGAAGTGCTGGTGGGGTAGGAAGCCGCTTTTGTAGTGCTGGTGGAGTAGGGAGCCACTTTTGTAGTGCTGGTGGAGTAGGGAGCCACTTTTGTAGTGCTGGTGGAAGAGGAAGCCACTTTTTTAAGTGCTGGTGGAGTAGGAAGCCACTTTTGTAGTGCTGGTGGAGTAGGGAGCCACTTTTGTAGTGCTGGTGGGGTAGGAAGCCACTTTTGTAGTGCTGGTGGAGTAGGGAGCCATGTTTGTAGTGCTGGTGGAGTGGGGAGCCACTTTTGTAGTGCTGGTGGAGTAGGGAACCATGTTTGTAGTGCTGGTGGAGTAGGGAGTCACTTTTGTAGTGCTGCTGGAGTAGGGAACCATGTTTGTAGTGCTGGTGGAGTAGGGAGCCACTTTTTGTAGTGCTGGTGGATTAGGGAACCATGTTTGTAGTGCTGGTGGAGTAGGGAGCCACTTTTGTAGTGCTGGTGGGGTAGGAAGCCACTTTTTTTTAGTGCTGGTTCCAGTCATGTGATATCACTGCTGGTTTCTTTTTAAATGTTTTTTCTTTTTAAATGTTTATCCTCAAATGTTGAGAGACACTCTGTGTTATAACGAGGATGAAGAAAGCCATGTTTGTAGTGCTGGTGGAGTAGGGAGCCGCTTTTGTAGTGCTGGTGGAGTAGGGAGCCACTTTTTGTAGTGCTGGTGGAGTAGGGAGCCACTTTTGTAGTATTGGTGGAGTAGGGAGCCACTTTTTGTAGTGCTGGTGGAGTAGGGAGCCACTTTTTGTAGTGCCGGTGGAGTAGGGAGCCACTTTCGTAGTGCTGGTGGAGTAGGAAGCCACTTTTGTTGTGCTGGTGGAGTAGGGAGCCACTTTTTGTAGTGCTGGTGGAGTAGGGAGGCACTTTTGTAGTGCTGGTGGAGTAGGGAGCCACTTTTTGTAGTGCTGGTGGAGTAGGGAGCCACTTTTTATAATGTTGTTAGGGTAGGGAGCCACTTTTGTATCACTGGTGGTTTCAGTCATGTGATATCCTGCTGGTTTCAGTAATGTGATATCGCTACTGGTTTCATTCATGTGATATCATTGCTGGTGTCAGTCATGTGATATCGCTACTGGTTTCAGTCATGTGATATCATTGCTGGTTTCAGTAATGTGATATCGCTACTGGTTTCACAAATGTGATATCACTGCTGGTGTCAGTCATGTGATATCACAACTGGTTTCATTCATGTGATATCACTATTGGTTTCAGGCATGTGATATCACTGATGGTTTCAGTCATGTAATGTCACTGCTGCTTTCACCCATGTGATATCGCTGCTGGTTTCAGTCACGTGATATTGCTACTGGTTTCAGTCATGTGATATCGCTACTAATTTCAGTCATGTGATATCACTACTGGTTTCAGTCATGTGATATCACTGCTGGTTTCAGTCACGTGATATCACTGCTGGTTTCAATCATGTGATATCGCTAGTCAGATTTCAGTCATGTGATATTACTGCTGGTTTCAGTCATGTGATATCGATACTCGTTTCAATCATGTGATATCGCTAGTCAGATTTCAGTCCTAAAACTGCAGCATTATCTGACTGGGTGGTTACTTCTGGCAGCGTGTCACTGGAACTGGACTCAATACAAAGCTGTGGTTGTGACTGGGTCCATGGTATTTATCATAACACAGTAATTAGACATAGTACAATGGATAATCGAGGCTGTATAAATATGTGACAATACAAAGGCCACGGTACCAATGTGTAAAATGTTGAAGAACACAAATTACAGAATAGCCAGTGAACAAACAGTACGGACCCAGTCAATACTGCTGTTCCTCCAGCAGTTATTTATTTTTTGGACTAGAATCTCACTATATTTATCATGCCATCATGTCATCACAGCTTCCTTGAGACCATTCAGTCATCTACAACCAGCACAGCTTCCTAGGGACCATTTAGTCATCTACAACCAGCACAGCTTCCTGGGGACCATTCAGTCATCGATAACCAGCACAGTTTCCTGGGGACCATTCAGTCATCTACAACCAGCACAGCTTCCTTGAGACCATTCAGTCATCTACAACCAGCACAGCTTCCTAGGGACCATTTAGTCATCTACAACCAGCACAGCTTCCTGGGGACCATTCAGTCATCTACAACCAGCACAGCTTCCTGGGGACCATTCAGTCATCTACAACCAGCACAGCTTCCTCGGGACCATTCAGTCATCTACGACCAGCACAGCTTCCTGGGGACCATTCAGTCATCTACAACCAGCACACGTTCAAGGGGACCATTCAGTCATCTACAACCAGCACAGCTTCCTGGGGACCATTCAGTCATCGATAACCAGCATAGTTTCCTGGGGACCATTCAGTCATCTACAGCCAGCACAGCTTCCTGGGGACAATTCTGTCATCTACAACCAGCACAGCTTCCTGGGGACCATTCAGTCATCTACAACCAGCACACGTTCAAGGGGACCATTCAGTCATCGATAACCAGCACAGTTTCCTGGGGACCATTCAGTCATCTACAACCAGCACAGCTTCCTGGGGACCATTCAGTCATCTACAGCCAGCACAGCTTCCTGGGGACCATTCAGTCATCTTCAACCAGCACAGCTTCCTGGGGACCATTCAGTCATCTACAACCAGCACAGCTTCCTGGGGACCATTCAGTCATCTACAACCAGCACAGCTTCCTTGAGACCATTCAGTCATCTACAACCAGCACAGCTTCCTAGGGACCATTTAGTCATCTACAACCAGCACAGCTTCCTGGGGACCATTCAGTCATCTACAACCAGCACAGCTTCCTGGGGACCATTCAGTCATCTACAACCAGCACAGCTTCCTCGGGACCATTCAGTCATCTACGACCAGCACAGCTTCCTGGGGACCATTCAGTCATCTACAACCAGCACACGTTCAAGGGGACCATTCAGTCATCTACAACCAGCACAGCTTCCTGGGGACCATTCAGTCATCGATAACCAGCACAGTTTCCTGGGGACCATTCAGTCATCTACAATCAGCACAGCTTCCTGGGGACCATTCAGTCATCTACAACCAGCACACGTTAAATGGGACCATTCAGTCATCTACAACCAGCACAGCTTCCTGGGGACCATCCAGTCATCTACAACCAGCACACGTTCAAGGGGACCATTCAGTCATCTACCACCAGCACAGCTTCCAGGGGACCATTCAGTCATCTACAACCAGCACAGCTTCCTGGGGACCATTCAGTCATCTACAACCAGCACAGCTTCCTGGGGACCATTCAGTCATCTACAACCAGCACACGTTTAACGGGACCATTCAGTCATCTACAACCAGCACACGTTTAAGGGGACCATTCAGTCATCAACAACCAGCACAACTTCCTGTGGACCATTCAGTCATCTACAACCAGCACAGCTTCCTGGGGACCATTCAGTCATCTACGACCAGCACAGCTTCCTGGGGACCATTCAGTCATCTACAACCAGCACAGCTTCCTAGGGACCATTCAGTCATCTACAACCAGCACAGCTTCCTCGTGACCATTCAGTCATCTACAACCACCACAGATTCCTCGCGACCATTCAGTCATCTACAACCAGCACAGCTTCCTGGGGACCATTCAGTCATCTACAAACAGCACACGTTCAAGGGGACCATTCAGTCATCTACAACCAGCACAGCTTCCTGGGGACCATTCACTCATCTACAACCAGCACTGCTTCCTGGGTCGAACACTAACACAAGTGGGTTTCAATGCTGCTCTGAATTGTGCAGGTTTGATTTGGGTAGGTGTGTTTTGTTTAGCACTGCTTTGAAAAAACTAACGTCAGACATCCATCATGGTTCGAACACTACCATAACATAAATCTTCAAACAGTGTATGTCAGTCCTTAAGAATCACTCAAAGCGTAACATAAGAAGTGAAGGAAAAAATATAGCCTGATGCTGACATCAATATCTTCTCCATGCCATGTACCCATGCTTGATGGGGAGCCATGGGGTCACAGAGTGCAGCAACCATGTGTGTGTGTGTGTGTGTGTGTTTATATACACACGTTTGATCTACTATATAACATGCACTACAGGGCTGGGACGGGTAACTAGGATAGTTTCTTTCTGACTATGAACGCATTCCTTTCATATGCTTGAATAAAGATAAAGCTTCAGTAAACTTCAGTGTATGCATGACCAGATCGTTTTATATGTGTATCTCAATACATTTTGCCAGGGCTACAGTCAAACTATTCCCAATTGGACATTTGTACCTATCTCTCGATACCTACAGCGGGTACCCAGGTTGGGCAGGGTAATTGGGGTTTAGGTACCCAGATTGGGCAGGGTAATAGGGGGTTAGGCTACCAGATTGGGCACGGTAATAGGGGGTTAGGCTACCAGATTGGGCAGGGTAATAGGGGGTTAGGTACCTAGGTTGGGCAGGGTAATAGGGGGTTAGGTACCCAGGTTGGGCAGGGTAATAGGGGGTTAGGTACCCAGGTTAGGCAGGGTAATAGGGGGTTAGGTACCCAGGTTGGGCAGGGTAATAGGGGGTTAGGTACCCAGGTTAGGCAGGGTATTAGGTGGTTAGGCTACCAGGTTGGGCAGGGTAATAGATGGTTAGGCTACCAGATTGGGCAGGGTAATAGGGGGTTAGGCTACCAGATTGGGCAGGGTAATAGGGGGTTAGGTACCCAGGTCGGGCAGGGTAATAGGGGGTTAGGTACCCAGGTTGGGCAGGGTAATAGGGGGTTAGGTACCCAGGTTGGGCAGGGTAATAGGGGGTTAGGTACCCAGGTAGGGCAGGGTAATAGGGGGTTAGGTACCCAGGTTGGGCAGGGTAATAGGGGGTTAGGTACCCAGATTGGGCAGGGTAATAGGGGGTTAGGTACCCAGGTTGGGCAGGGTAATAAGGGGTTAGGTAACCGGGTAGTAAATTTGGACTCGTCCCAGCCCTTATGCACTAAGACCAAGCAGAGCTGACCCTTGCCGAATCAACACTGCACCTTAAACAACAGTTCTTACTTGTCGCATGTTTACCTTCAAACAAGTTAATTTAACACAATCTACGTGAGATAACGACAGTCTACAAGGACAGGTCAGAGGAGGCAAACAAGTTATTTCTTCCCCTTACAAATAGTAAAACTCTATTGAAGGCGAAATACATCAGTGTCTTGCGCTTATTCTGTGTGTCTGTATGCACTGCATTATGGGATTGTTATCAAGTAGAATGACAGGTAAATACAGGGAACAGGACAGCACCTGACTTGGGGCACTCTATGGACGATCACATCCCTATCCCAGGGTAAAAATTACGCATCACATTGCCAAATTATAATAATAATAATTAGGATTTGGTGAGAGTGAGTGAGTGAGTGAGTGAGTGAGTGAGTGAGTGAGTGAGTGAGTGGGTTTAAATGCTGCTTTGAACCATGGAGGTTTAAGGTAGGTTTTAATGAGTGAGTTTTGAAAAGTTAGTGTGAGTGACATAGGTATAATGTTGTAATATACTGTGTAGTTTTATGGAGTGAGTGAGTGAATTGGGTTTAACACCTTATGAGTTGGGATAATAACACACCTCACATTTCGATGTTTAAACTTGCACAAGTCTCTAAGGCAATAATTATTAGTTTAAATCATTATTTCTAGATTATGTTAATAATAAGAACAAGTTGTCCCTATAAGAGACTGGAGTCCACATATCTAGACTTGCCTATTAGGAGGCTAGAATTACCGGGTTACTACACATCCATGGACTTTTCTTACAGCCCAGCCTTGGAGCAAGGCTATTATATGTACAGATTCAGATAATAACACCCCACAAAGAGGAACTAAATATGGCGGAGTCTGCTTACTTGACAATAGAACATACTGGATGAACAATTTTCTGCCATTTCAGCAAGTTTCTTATCTCAGGACAATCGGCAGGAATAATGAAACAATTGACATGTAACGCACAACATTCACAGCTTGTTGTTCACAATGACTGGTCACAGTGAAACTTGATACTGCTTATCACGAAACAGAAATGAAACGGAAAGTTAGTTCACAGGAAAAACAAGATTCTGAATTTCTGAGAATCGGCTCCTTATAAGGAGACACCTTACAGGCTGTTGTGCAATGTGATAAAGGGATTCCATTGACGCTGTCTGTCTCCACAGCAGTGAAGAAACATCGTGATAACACGCCAGTAGATACAAAACACACAGGTATAAATTGTAACAAACCTGCACAAACCTGTCCCACGTCAATAACACAAAAATAGCGTTGTGACAATGTCTGTTCCAGCTATCTGGCTGTTTTGAAGCTTCGGCAACAGAAATCAGGGACCTGTGTTTGACAGATTGGGGTGGGTTGGGTTCAAAGGGTCAGTCATAAATGCAATTACACAATTTAAGGAGGTTCATGCAGAACACAATTTAGGGGAGGTCATGGACAAGGGGAGGGTCGTGTTGAACACAATTTAGGGGAGGTCATGGACAAGGGGAGGGTCGTGCAAAACACAATTTAGGGGAGGTCATGGACAAGGGGAGGGTCGGGCAGAACACAATTAAGGGAAGGTCATGGACAAGGGGAGGGTCATGTAGAACACAATTTAGGGGAAGTCATGGACAAGGGGAGGGTCATGCAGAACACAATTTAAGGAAGGTCATGGACAAGGGGAGGGTCGTATAGAACACAATTTAGGGGAAGTCATGGACAAGGGGAGGGTCATGCAGAACACAAGTTAGGGGAGGGTCATGGACAAGGGGAGGGTCATGTAGAACACAATTTAGGGGAGGTCATGGACAAGGGAAGGGTCGTGTAGAACACAATTTAGGGGAGGTCATGGACAAGGGGAGGGTCGTGTAGAACACAATTTAGGGAAGGTCATGGACAAGGGGAGGGTCGTGTAGAACACAATTTAGGGGAGGTCATGGACAAGGGAAGGGTCGTGTAGAACACAATTTAGGGGAGGTCATGGACAAGGGGAGGGTCGTGTAGAACACAATTTAGGGGAGGTCTTGGACAACGGGAGGGTCATGCAAAACACAATTTAGGGGAGGTCATGGACAAGGGGAGGGTCATGTAGAACACAATTTAGGGGAGGTCATGGACAAGGGGAGGGTGGTGTAGAACACAATTTAGGGGAGGTCATGGACAAGGGGTGGGTCATGTAGAACACAATTTAGGGGAGGTCATGGACAAGGGGAGGGTTGTGTAGAACACAAGTTAGGGAAGGTCTTGGACAAGGGGAGGGTCATGCAGAACACAATTTAGGGAAGGTCATGGACAAGGGGAGGGTTGTGTAGAACACAAGTTAGGGAAGGTCATGGACAAGGGGAGGGTCATGCAAAACACAATTTAGGGGAGGTCATGGACAAGGGGAGGGTGGTGTAGAACACAATTTAGGGAAGGTCATGGACAAGGGTAGGGTCGTGTAGAACACAATTTAGGGGAGGTCTTGGACAAGGGGAGGGTCATGCAGAACACAATTTAGGGAAGGTCATGGACAAGGGGAGGGTTGTGCAGAACACAATTTAGGGGAGGTCATGGACAAGGGGAGGGTTGTGTAGAACACAATTTAGGGGAAGTCATGGTCAAGGGGAGGGTCATGTAGAACACAATTTAGGGGAAGTCACGGACAAGGGGAGGGTCATGCAGAACACAATTTAGGGAAGGTCATGGGCAAGGGGAGGGTCGTGTAGAACACAATTTAAGGAAGGTCATGGACAAGGGGAGGGTCATGCAGAACACAATTTAGGGGAGGTCATGGACAAGGGGAGGGTCGTGTAGAACACAATTTAGGGGAGGTCATGGACAAGGGGAGGGTCGTGCAGAACACAATTTAGGGGAGGTCATGGACAAGGGGAGGGTCATGCAGAACACAATTTAGGGGAGGTCATGGACAAGGGGAGGGTCGTGTAGAACGCAATTTAGGGGAAGTCATGGACAAGGGGAGGGTCATGTAGAACACAATTTAGGGGAGGTCATGGACAAGGGGAGGGTTGTGTAGAACGCAATTTTTATTTAGGGGAGGGTCATATAGAAGAAATTTTGTATTAAGGGTAGGCTTGTGTAGAACACAAGTTAGGGGAGAGTTGTGGACAGGGGGAGGGTCGTGTTGAACACAATTTCTATTTAGGGGAGGATTGTGTAGAAAAAAAATATATATTTAGGTTGTGTCGTGTGGAAGACAATTTAGTGGAGGGGCGTGGACAAGGGGAGGGTCGCGTAGAAGACAATTTTCCTCTTTTTGTGCTACGAACAAATATAAGCATTGTGGGGGATATATACAATACAGACATACAGAGCAATGAAGGTGCTCCCTGCTTGTAAATAGATTCAGTTTTCAGGTATTCAGCAATACCAGCTCAATCCATTCTTAGAAAAACACAATATGAGTACTTCGGATTACCTATCACCATCATTCAATGAGACAATAAAGTCTAAACTCGACTCCCTCTTCAAAGATGCTAATGCAACTAAAGGCACAGGAAACTTGGGACATAAAGGATAGTTATCAATGAAATAGAATTAGAACCTTATCTCAGTCACTGTAAAATAAGAAAATATCAAGTGCACTTTTCTATAATTAAATATAGAACCTGGTAAACATACAAATCCACCAACCCCACTACATCAGAGACTATGCTCCACATGTTCAGCCATGGATGATGAAAAACACTACCTACTTCACTGTACCAAACACACTCAAGACAGAAATATACTCTTTGGAAAATTATCCACACACAATGTAAATATCCAC